TAATTCAGTGGTTGCCGTTTGTTGCTTTGTTATACATATTTGTGTTTCGTTCATTTTTTTGTACATTAATTCGGCCGTTAGTTTTCTCGATTGAATTGTTTTACATTTTTGATTTCGGGGCCTTTTATAGCTGACTATGCGGTGTAGGCTTTGCTTATTGTCGAAGGCCGTACGGTGACTTATAGCTGTTGATTTCTGTGTCATTTGATCTCTTGTGGAGAGTTGTCTCATTTGCAATCATACCACATCTTCGTTTTTATATCCACCCTGCCATATTCTTTATTTGCCTGTCCCAGGGATGGAGCCTGTAGTTTAGTGGTTGTCGTTGGTTCCTGTCTTGACTCATATTTGATATTTTGTAAATTGTTTTGTTATGTATAATTAGGCTGTTAGTTATTTCGTTTGAATTGTTCACACTTTTCATATCGGGCCTTTTATAGACGACTTTACAGTTTCAGGTTTTTGTCATTGTTGAAGGCCTTACGATTGTCTACAAAAAGCATTTGTCTACATGACGGCAAAAAGCTCTACAGAGCTTATGTTTGTAGTATTTCATGTAACCCGACTTAAAATAAATTTTTCTTATCTTATCTTATCTTATCTATAATTGCTTACATCCACTTCATATTTGAACTCCGGTGGATAGTTGCCTTATTAGCAATTATATTCCATCTCTTCATTTTTATATTATATACGTGACTTCTAAACTCGTGTTTTCCTGAACAAGCATGAAATAATTTTCACTGGGCGTTAAACTTAGCAACAAACAATCAATCAATCTAAACTTGTGTTAAATAAGAGGAAAACAATTTGATATTTATTTATTTGTTGGGGTGGGGGACAGAAGGATTTCATAAATGAATATGGTTGCCTGGTAAGAGCTGAAAAATAGGCATGATTAGCGACAGATTGAAATGAATAATAATGCCCTCTCTTCCCTTCCCGATCCTTCTTCTATAAATTCAAACTGACCACCACGGAATAGCCCAATAGTGTTGAAAGTAGCGTTAAACACCAATCAATCAAAATCCCTTCCCTAGAATATCAAATAATCGTCCCTTAACTGTTATTGTCCGTGTAGTTCTTATATTTATCCAGCTTATCGTCCTACAGGGATGTCCTACTAAGGCCGTCATACCATAAAAACGTTTATAAAACAGCTCACATTCTAATATATCTGCATTCATAAAGTTTATTAATTTCATTTAGACCAAACGACGCCATGTTTGTTATGTGCCTCTGCCGTCAACCTATCAAAAAAGAAGAGGTGGAAGAGAGCCAGAAGATGCAAAAAAAAAAACCAGAAATGGACTTCTTCTGGCTCACTTCCGAAGAACCAAAAAAAAACGCGCCCCATTGAAATGTTTTATAAACGCCTTGCCCCTACCCTTTTTTCCAAAAAAAATGGCATTATTAAATATATAAACATATATATAATCATCAAAATTAAAATGCTATTGTATTTTTATAAGACCTACTTTATTACATGACCTGGGACTAATGACATCTATCTATAAGTCCTAGCATACATTAATTATTATAATATGAATATGTTTCTTGTTTTAATAACCACATATGATGATATGCATGAGTCACCATTTATCAGGACATGAATTGGGAATTGAGAGGATAAGGGACGACATCAGAAAATCAATGAAGGATAAAAAACTTAATTCAAATAGTTTTTGTTTGTTTTTTTTTTTGGGGGGGGGGGGAGGGGGGGGGGGTCAAAATTGCTGCAAGTTTTGTTTAAGTAACATCGATTTTATATATATCCTTATTGGTCAATCATTTTTCCCAAATTAAGTTAAGAGGGGGGGGGGGGGGGGGTAGGGGGTCAGTGAAAAAAACTATATGAATTAAGTTTTTTTTTATCCTACATTGAACTTTTGATGTCGTCCCTAATGTGCAAAAAAATAGATAAGGGGCGGGACCAAACCTATAGATAACATAATAAAGAAATAATGAAATACAGAATACGTTGATTGACTTTTGGTTGCCTTATGTCCAGTGGCAAATATGTCACGCATGTTTAGGACAAATATAATAGAGATCAAAGGATAAAGAATAGAGTGAAATGGTAAAAACTAAAAGATATAGAATTATAGAAACGATCTTTGATCTGAAACCCCTACCCTCACACACACACCATAACCATTACTGCCAATACTCGCATATATACATCTCTATACAAATATCTAAATTTGAACCTACTCCCCCCTCCCCGCCCCCCCCCCTCTAGACACCGAGGTTTTGGATCCGCCCCTGTTAAATGTGTCTAATTATATACATTTTGTACGGGTCTAGATAATAGCTAAACGTACAATCATATAATTTGTTGGATACCTAATTATATTATATAATGTGTCACAAAATAAACTTGTATACCCCTTCCCAATGCAGTATTGAAAAGTAAATCATTTAAAAGTCCTGAAGATAAAATATGTTTTGAAATATGTCCTGCATACTTATTTATGCAAAGACATATAGTAATTATTGAACTACTGTGGGGCTTGAAAAAAATCTATTTAAGGTATTCGGAGACGAGAACAGTAAAAAAAAAAAGCTCAGCAACGAATCCTAAATGTAAAATGATTTGCAGCATAGGACATGAGAGCACATATTATAGATAGTATTAAATATGAAGTTCACGCCTCATATAGTGAAGTCCTATGTCATAGGACTATTGTTGTAACATGGGTTAGTAACTGGTTCCAATTTATCCTGAATTGTCTTTATTAAAGAATTAGTTCCGGAGTATAACAGCTTATGTCTCTACTTATGGGTTTCTGGTTCTGCTGTCGTTATTAGGTGATTTTTTTTCTACATGTAGTAAAAAAGAGGGGGCTTAGTCCAAATAATTGTAACGTCCTGGATGCTTTTTATTCTATTTTCATGTGTGCCTTCCTGCAACGTCTCTGGGGATCAAGAAAAGTAAAAAATGATATAGCACTAAAGAACGTCATGATTACATGTATCTGGACTTAGAAGGGGGAAGGGGGGTGGGTGGGGGGCTAGCTATGTATTTTTTTTTTATTTCAATGTGTAGACTGTAGGAAAGTTTCTTCAGAAAAGGTTTTCATTGGAGGTTTTTTGCCATGCACGCAGGCATCTGTTTCTATCCATGAACAAGTTGTGTGTCAAATTATTTATTGTTACTTGTCACTCGCATTTTTTGCTCGTCCTGGCCATTATTGGCATTAACAGCCAGTGCACGAACTCGCACGAACTCCAAATTTAGTTAGAGGGGTGATATTCTGACGCGTTTTTTTAATTCTTGGTTACTCAAGTTTAGAAAGAAAGGGGAGAAATCCAAATAATTTCCGACCAATCACAAACGTTGTTGCAAATTTGACCTTATGACGTCAAAGAATTTCCCATAATGCAATTATTGCATATAAATAAAAAACTACTATACCAATTGAATAAAAAATATTGCATTTGAACGAAAATTATACCATTTGAATGAAAAATTGTACCATTTGAATGAAAAATTATACCATTTGAATGAAAAAGTATACCATCTGAATAAAAAATATTGCATTTAAATGTAAAAATATACCATTCAAATAAAAAAATATTGCATTTAAATGAAGAAATATACCAACTGAATAAGAAATATTGCATTTAAATGAAAAATATCAAATTTTTGCAACCAATACCATGCCATACTCATGATTGTTCATCTTTTGTATTACTAAGAAACATTTCGAGTGTTTTTTAAATGGTTTTCTATTTAAACTTTAGCACATATTTGTTCTTGTTTAATTGCTTGTTGTTAATTTTTTTATTATGAATTTATTTGCGTTTTCTGACTTCTCGGAATAAAAAAAAACAATATTTAAAACGTTAGGAACTTATATATCTATTATAATTATTATTTATATGATGCAATAAAATTGATACCGTATATGTTATTATATCATATATTTCAGAAAAGAATTAAAACTTATGATTTTGAATCTGAAAATAGAAATAACTTGACCCTTGTGATGTTATTAAAATATGTTACTTTAATATGTCGTTTTGTTTAGTTAATTATCCGCACCCTATATTTTGCAACTGTAAACTTTCAATGTTTATGTTATAGCAATCGTGCATATCGAGTATATTTCCAGCTGATAAGGTATCCTATGTGTGGCGTTTCCTATCATAATTTTCTCAAATGTTGGCTACTTTCAAGAAACTATTGAACTAAGGGTTCTAATAGAAAAATTGCACCCTTGGCTTGTTAAGTTGTTTGTGATAAGATAAAAAAAACAAAACAAAAAAATGGAAGTACCAACTTGATAAAATGTTGTTTTCATTTTGAAGTTATTTCTTCATAAATATTTATTAGACACCACCATTATTTGACCGTTATGAAAAATCTGTGCAACAAATACAATTTCTTTCTTTATAGTACCGGTATTGCTTAATGTGGACTATGACCCCGCTACATTCTTTATGTGTCTGTCAGAAATCAGAAGCCTGTAGTTCAGTGGTTGTCGTTGGATTATGTCTGTCATATTTGTTTTTCGTAAATTGTTTTGTTATAAATTATGCCGTTAGTTTTCTCAATTGAATTGTTTCATGTTTTTCATGTCGGGGCCTTAAAGAGTCGACTATACGGTATGAGTTTTTTCTCATTGTTGAAAGTCAAATTGTTGGATATAATAATTTACATCCATTTAATTTGAACTTTGGTGCATAATTGTCTCATTAGCAATCATACCACATCTCCTTATTTTAATTTTGTTTGTCTTTTCATCTTTTTTTCTATTAGCCATGTTGTTGTCTGTCTTTATTCGACTTATGCATTGGTATGTTTAAACAAGATGTTGCAAAGTTGACAATAGAATAGAAATTATAAGACAACATTGACTATCGCTTATTTTATTCTTGTATTGTCAATTCTACATCATTTGTTTTAAACATGATATATTATACTAAGCGAATATCACAAAAAAATCAAAGGAAAAATAAACAAAATAGCGTAAATATTATATACTGATACTTACATGTCCTTGGTACAGGTACATATCTTTCTTTTAAAAGATATGGTGGTGTGCGTTGTCGTAATATTATTTTATGATATAACGGACCACCTGTAAACACAGTACCTGGTGTTAATCGTTTTAAACCCATAGATTGTTGTCTATAATTTCTAGAGGATAAAGATCTCAAATTTGATCTTTTCATCCAATTATTTCGTCGATTATTGCTTGAGCGACGGTTTAATTCTGAAACCACCGAACGTATTTGATTCGAAAGGTTGTTCGTTGTGTTTTTAGAAGCAAATCTTCGTATGAAATCAAGCAGCTCCTGTAAGTTCCATGACGACAATAAATGTACACGTACATTATTTCTACGACGTTGTTGGCGGCCAATATTTGCTCCATTTCGTACTTTGTTTGCGTTTATAAACTGACCAGGGAATTTGACTGCATTTCTGCTTCTCATACTCGTTTGCGGTAGTCTATGATGAGTATTTCTACTAGTGAAACTAGAGTGCTTTGGAGAAAAGCTTGTCCTATTACTACTATTCGTTGACCCTTGTAGTCTGGTTCCTAAATTAGACACCCTTTGTATACTACCGGTGTTCCTTCTTTCAAATGTGCGACCTTGTCTATTTCCTCCCTGACCAATGTTTGCTGAAGCTGAAGATATACTATTTCTTTCAGCAACTAGATTTTTCTTTCTACTGGTGGTTTTATTTTCGATGCGTTTGAATGTTGTACTTACTGTCTGTTTCTGACTATCTTTGTCTACAGTTTGTCTACTTCCTCCACTGCCTTGCGCACCGTTATCAAATGACAATTTATTTGACCTAGATGCAGTTTGTAGATTCTTTTGAATATCATTAACTTTGTAACCTGCAGTGGGCTTATCTAACAGTCCACTTGGTACCCAGGCTTGATGTTTGATACCAGAGGTCCATTTTAGCTTCCAGTCATTGGCATTACCTATGTTTCTGTTAATTGTTAACTTGGCATCGCTATTTATCTTTTCTTTACCAATTATTGTCCGGTCAAGGGCTTTATTCAAAACAAAAGCGTTAGGTTTTTGTTCTTGGTTCAGAGTGTCTATCTGTATTTCCTCAAATGTGTTACTATTAGACTGTGATTGCTTGTTCACAACTCTTCGTGTCTGACTTTCTGATAGGCTGACTTCCTTGTGTAAACCATCTTTTTTATCGACATCTGATTTCTTTTTTGTATCCCGAGGTGATAGATTCTCACCAGAAAGCCAGCTATCGGAACTTTCAAAAATGTTTATTTGTTGCTGACTGCTTAGTATTGAGTCATCGGTTACTTCATTTATCTCTTCCTCAGACAATGTCTTTGCTTTAGACATTTCTGTCTGTTTAAATTGATATAAGCTGTTAGCACTCACAGTTAAACCTGTTGACCCATCTTCGTTGTTTTCGAATAAACTGCCATCATCTTCAAGACTACTCGGTTCTCCTGAATCAAAATCTGACCACTCACTTGACCACTTGAATTCAGAGATACTAGAGTCTGATATATCCTCTTCGGAACGACCGAAAGGTTTAATAGAGTGATCAAAATCTATAATGAGAGTTATAAACAAATGGAAAATATTGTTAAATATAGATGGATTAATGTGTAACGGTGTTATATATTTTTTAACTATTCTGATACTGCGCCCAGTAGAATACAGCACTGTTTATACGAAATGAATGTTTAAAACAAATAAACGATTGAAATATTTAACATGTTTACTATCGGATGCCTTTATTGTATTTTCCACGTGCTTAAGTGATATACAGTTCTGTGAATGTATTTTGTAAAATATGGTTGTTCTTTCTGTATATAAAAGAAATAAGTACAGTTTGTATGTGGTCTACACGAAAGAAAATTGTAGAATCCTTTCTTATAATGTTTCGTGATTTTGACTTTTTACAATTTTGACGTCTATAGGACTGATGGATCTAAGATATGCTAAATATACAGGTCGAATATACCTTTGATTGCTGTTTTGGTAGATATAGGGTCAGATGACTATCAATCATCGTTTTCATCCATTTAGTGAAAAATATCCTTTTCCTGAAATTGTGACCTCATCACAACTTTAAATCAACAGAATTTCCAGAAATACCTACTCAAAAAATATACGCGAATTTCATGTCAGTATTTTAACACAAACATGACTGGCAAATGTGTAAAGGTAGAGAATCAAATAAAAAAAAGGACTACAAAAATCAAGAAAAATGCACATCGAAATAAAAATCAATGTGTTTTTTTTTTTAAGTCGTGAAAATCGAAATTCTAAAATAAAAAAAGGTCAAAAAATCTAATGCGGATTCAATTGTACTAAGATATTTTGATTATGCAATAAAAATCGGAAGAAAAATAAATTAAAGCGCAAAATCTACACTGATGACTGCCATAGAAAACGATTTATAGACAATAGAACCTTACCGATATTTACCTTTTTGTGTTTTCAGAGCAGTTACAGTTACAACAGCAAACAAAATGATAAAGGCCTTCATTTTCCTGAAACGTAAAATTTCATTTCAATGAATAAAATGTTGGGTTTTTTAGTATCTATTATCATCATGATTGTCTTATTTTCCTAGAAAGACGAAAAAATTCAAAATACATAGTACTCTTTAAAAGTAAAGATAAAGTATTTTATTAAGTAAACACTTTTAGAATGTCAGCGTTACAAATAATATCACGAATACAAAATTCAGTGACGAATGAAAAAATCAGATGAAATTAAATACACCTTTACAATCGCTAAAAATTTACGTTAAAAACTGAGCAGTATCAGGACTTCTTAATTAGTTGTTTTTTTTTTTTCTAATTTCTAAATGTCACACTGTTAAATTTCCAACAGATCAAACATAAAACTATTTAAAAGCCGATATTAGAGCGGAAACATTTTATGTCTTTTTTACGTCTATTTTCGTCGAGAAACGATACTTGATAGCACATGCATTTAGAATAACCATGACATTTGTTAACAAAGCATGACAGACAGTGCTTCCGTGCAAATAAAAGTCATTATTTTTCTTCAATAGCTATATGAGTATTGGAGTCTGTTAAATTCAAAAAACGTTAAAAATATAAAAATAAATGAGGCTGTAATAATTCCTATCTAAATATTAGGCAACATAGAAAGGATGATGAAAATCTTCTGTCTTTGTACTGGATACCTAAAATTCATAAAAATCCTTATAACGAACAATACTAGTATTTGGTTTTGAGCGTTCCGTATGAAGGTAAATCTTCGGACGCAGAAAAATTATAAAACATTGCTTTCATTTTTTATAGCACCGAGTCGAATCAGCTTCAGGTGGACTATTAGTTCCCGAGAGTATCATCAGCTCAGTAGTCACAGATCGGCACTGACAGGATTTATATCGACCCTACTCTTCTTAAATTGTCTGTTTATAAATCTGGAAATTATTAAGAAAAACTAAGGTTCTAGCTCTCTCAGGCAAAGTTGATCTGAGATGAATTTGACTATTAAATTAGGTTTCTGTTGGTCATATTGCTCTTCACATCTTTCGGTTCTAATGCATCCTTGGTTTTTACATATTTGGCTTTATCCAGAAACGCGCTTCGTACGCAGAAAAATTATGAATTGTTGTTTTCATTTTCTTAGTATATAGCCAGGTCGTCAAGATGTTCTACTTTGCATCTTTTTAAAGTTCTTACACCATTTTTTCTGCAGTATAAAATGGCCTTCAGAAATATTGAGATGCCGTGAATTCAACCAGCGGTGTCAATCGTATGTGGATTCTTTAAATTCTAAAGATCTACTCCAAAATCTTTAATCGCAATCTTTACAATTTTGCACCAACTTTTGATTTATCTATGCTTTGCGGTACTATTCATATTCTCAAAGAAATATCGGCTACATCGTCTCATTGAACATAGCGTTTTCTACAAATATCAGATTCGTAGATAATAATTTCTTGTCTAAGCTTATGACAAACTTTGCTTTTCGCTGATTCCAACAACCAATACACCCAATATGATATCATTAAAATGCTGGACTTTTTTATCGACAAGTTTGGTGGATTGATGTTTCAACAGCAAGTCAATCGGTATTCCAATGGGTACTAATTATGCACCCCTACTGCCATGTCTGTACCTGTACTAATGTGGCATAGAATTCACGCAGAATTTTCTCAAAGACAAAAAAAGAAAATGCCTTTTGCACGGATCTTAGTATAACTTTCCAGTATATTGATAATGTCCTGTCACTTAATAACCCACATTTCTGTAAATGCTATCCTAGTGAACTTTAGATTAAGGATTAAGGATTACTGTAACCCGTATAACAATGTTTGAGTGGGACACATTTAGTTTATAACGATCAACCAAATCGTGACAGACGTAACGCACGTTATCGCGTCAATACCATGAAATCAACCAGTTCACACTGATAAACAGCTTTTCTATTTATTCAAAACAGTTAAACTATATAAAATGTATATCCATAGACTAGGCAGGTATTACTGTTCCCAAAAAAAATATTAAATTGTTTTATAACTGTTTACAATAGTTTAAAATAAGGGCAAACATGTTGGCAAAACGTCAAAATATGCATGTTAGACGTAACAAATTATTCGCATAATAACTTTTACGGTGGTGTTTGTGCTCTTCGCAACAGTGAAAAATCAGATAAAATTCGCATGAATGATATGCTTCATATATAAAGTATTGCGTCATTATTGAATTTGCGTTGATGCAACGACCAAAGCTGTTTTATTTTTTTGCAATAATAAATAGTCCTCACAAATGTCAGATTTCGGAAAATGGTAAATTATTATAATTTATGGGTTTTTAGAATATAAAGTAAAATCACAAAAATACTGAACTCCGTGGAAAATTCCAAAAGGAAAGTCCCCAATCAAATGGCAAAATCAAAATTTCAAACACATCAAACGAATGGATAACAACTGTCATATTCCTGACTTGGTACAGGCATTTTCTTATGTAGAAAATGGTGGATTGAACCTGGTGTTAAAGCTAGCTAATTTCGTTTTCATAAATTATGCTCACAAAAGTACATAGACCATTTTAAAACCGGATTTTTACAGCACTAGCATCACAAATAAAAACGCAACGGCTTCTGGCAAATGTCTTGCAAGAATGTACAATGTCGAATTTCGCCGCTTTTTACAAGTAAACTGTCATTTGCGACGTTATTTATTAAAAATTTCAATTTGCTGCACACAAAATAGTGCTTTTCAGTAATTGTACGTTAACCATACATAACAGTTACATACCTTTTTGATAATTTGCGTAGTCTAAACGACTTCGGTTTTTAACAAATCCAATATCTTGCAAGTTGATCCACTCAACGAATTTCTTACTTTAATAGAACGTTGTCGATTCGGGATGCTATAATTGCATGTCAATTAAGATCGAAGTCGAGCAAACCTCGCAACGAGCGTATTTCAAACTCGAAAGACTCCTGATCACTTTTTATTTCATGCATATTCATTACAACCAATCATTTGGAAGTATCCATATTGATAAGAAAAATAATTGCCAACGAATAGACAATATCCTCGATTATCGGCGTAAAACGTCGAATGTCGACGTTAACTTCTTTTTCTTTACATTAATACCTGGGGATGCGTTTGTTTCGTATGACTTGAATAACAAGGAAAGAAACAGCTCAACAAATTTGAACAACTTATTCATGGTCTTGCAAATTTGGTTACTACTTAAAATGGCCCGGAAAAGGGGAATTCAAATGGGTGGGGAGACATTGTTTTGAAAATCCTGAATTGCTTACAAGCCCAGTGTGATCTTATATACTTTATATATTTTTTACAGATGTCTAAAGGTATGATATTATTTATTTGTAAGTATGTTAAAAAAATTAGGAATGACATACCATCATAGTATAATGAAAACATTTGACTGTTGGATAGAATTACATAATACATCTATTGAACATTTTTAATAAATGACTAGTTTGAAAATAGGTGAACTTAACTGAAGGGGTCTGTCAGAGGTGATGAAAAGAAAAGTTTTTTTCAAGATATAGGAAAAAATATGATATAATTATATTAACAGATACGCATTGTACTAAAGAAAAAGAAAAACATTGGGTACATGAGTGGGGGTATAAGGCATTCTTTAGCTCTGGCTCCAGCCACTCAAGAGGGGTAGCAGTCTTGATAAAAAATAGTTTTACATTTATTATTCATCAAGAAAAAAAGGATCAGCAAGGCAATTTTATCATTCTAAATATGACCATTCAAGATTATCGACTGTCTCTTGTGGCATAATAAAGTCCCAATATGGACTTTTTTTGAAAATATAAAAGGTCTAGTGTCTGGTTTAAAAAATAGCTCCATAATTATGGCTGGAGACTGGAATGTGGTGCAAGGCTTTGATAAGGACACCTCAAACTATAGTGCTAAAAACAATATAAGAGCACATGATAAAATTTAAGATATGATAGAGTCACTGGACCTTGTTGATATATGGCGAGCTTTAAATCCGGATACTAAAAGATTAACATGGCGTGGACCTGGGCTTAAGCAAAGCCGTTTGGATTACTTT